GAAAATTGCTGAGAGAAAGTCTGGAAACGATATAAAGTTATTGGCCAGGCGAATGCGGTAATGTACCATCAGCACGCAACTCGTGCAATACTGAACATATGAATGAATTTTTTTTTTTTAATTTATGGAAGACTAACTGAAAAGCGACTGAAGGAAGTGAAGCTTTCCGAAAAGTGTTCGTTTGTTAATTTAGTCTCCAAATTTTCAGTTTTTTACAATTCAAAAGCAGAAATTGGGAAATAATTAAATTGAGTCCCAAGCACAATTTAATGAATTCGTCAATCTATATCATTAAAAAAAATTGAAAACCAAAGAAAAGCAAATTTTGCATTTTTAAAATTTAAAATCTTTCAAATACGGCCAAACTGCACTGACTGTTCAACGAACCGATGGGGCTAAACACATAAGGGCAATAAAAAATGATGCAGAGACTTGAGCACGATGAACAACGGCACACAAAAAATAGCGAAGTGAAAAAAGGAAAGCGAAATATCCAGAATTAGTGGAGTGCGTCTTTCAAAGTCGTACCGCACAGTGCGCCAATTCTCGAGGGACGGCAGAAAAGAACAGAGGTGCGTTGCTTCTCTCAAAAATGATGAGTTCCTTCGGCCAGTTATGCCCTTGTTCTGGCCAACTATTTCAGTTTGAAAGCGCTAAGAGATTTAGAAACTAAGAACCACTGATAAATGCGCTCAGTTATTGCGTACTGAAAATGCGCGCCTCCTCTTTAGTGAAGCGGATTAGGTAGTTCTATCCATTCCTTGACCAGCTAATGTGACTAGTACTGGGCTAAACAGTGGCCTTGGTTTGGCTGAGTAACAGACATTGTAGTGAATTTATTGCAGCTGCAGCTAAGTACAAACTATGTATCCTCGGCACAATAATCGAGGTCTGCTGTGCCTTGGATGAGCACGGATATCATCGTTCTGGCCTTTGAGTGTGAAGACAAAAGCAGCGTGATCACTAGGAAGAGTGTCAGAATAGCCAATGATTTCCTGGCTTTTCGAAACGGCCTTATGGAAGCACAAAAAAGATGTATTAAAAGGGAAATGGCAAAAGCACCAGCGAATCGATCGCTTGTGAATGTGCAACTGAATGGAGCCGAGACGACGCGAATTAGTTGGGCTTAAGCACATCAAGAGATAGTATTTTAACAAAATTATGTATGACCGAAAGGGCTAAGCCAAGTTGAGGGATGCCAAATTGGGTTCCACCTATACAGATTCTAATAAAATTGTGTTGACAAGAATGGCATTTAACTAGAATGCACGTCGAAATCACAAAATTCGTCTCAGCTACCTCGTGCAAC